AGCCTCTTCAGTTACACGATTAAATTGTAAAAAAGTGATATTAGAAGTAGCCTCTATACTCGGCTTCAATATCAGCTGTTATCAATGGGATCTGTTCAGACCGTCGTGCGATGCTGTTTGCAAATTTTGCACTCGTGTCCACCGAAGATGGTGCTTCCCATTTGATTCTCCGGTTGCTTCTGCCACCAGATCTTCATATGGTACTCCATTTCTTACAGCACAGCGTGCCAACAACAAGGTGATGATCGGTTGATAGCTCTGCGCCTCTCTCAACGCGAACATTCATTACTGAGCGTCTTAAGTTAGACGATACGATTATCAAATCGAACATCGACTTTTGTGCGCAAGCTTCCCTGTAGCAAGTGTACTGATGCCCCTTTTGATGCTCGAAGGTCCTTTTGTTGCTATAGTCGGAGGATAAACATCCTTTCGCTGTCAGGCTTCCAGTCGATAGTTCTATCGGCAAGGTTGGGTTCTACCAAAACGCCAACACCGGCCTGAGCGCGAGGCGTGATATCAACGCCTGTGTAGAACAGCTTCCATCCGCTGAGGTTCAGGAGTCCAGAGCCTGGGCGTTTCGTTAACGAGAGTCCAACAATGTTGAGTTGGTACTTTATGGCCTCATCAACCAATTCTTGTTCTCTTCCTCTGAGTGAGGATATGTTCCCGCTGGTGGTGTCGTTTTCGTAGAGTTCTGGAGGGTTTTCTGACGTCCTATAATGACATCACGCTGTTTTCCTCCTCCATTCAAAAGTGGAAGCGACTCCGTTGCTGACTTGTATCTTCGTCGTCGTTCCATTGGTCTTCGTCAGGCGTCGTTGTGCTGCTACGCCCCCGGATGGCAGAGGGCAATGAGCAGGTTCTGGTCGGTGACTTTTCGCAGTCTGCCTCAGTCCCCCAATAGCCTGCGCATCCCTTGGTAACCCGGGCGACGACCGAGCCGATATAATTTTCGATGGCGTCAATAGCATGAGTGGCAGGTGGCAAAATTTTGCCTAGAGTTGCATGGTCTTTAATTTTTCTCCTTTCTCATCCGGACTTGTGACCGTCATCGGCAGAGCTATGAACTATTATTAATATCTGTAGACTTTAATTTAAACAACTGCCTAGATCTGTAAGAAAATTAATGTTACCTATGATACTGGTTGTTGAATTTATTCGCTAACATGACCATCTTCTTTCAGGAACCTCAACAAATTGCAGTACATTTGACAGGCACACTGAAATACATGAACGTATGGATCACATTCTAGTTTTCTAGAACTTTTCGCTAGCCATCGATATTGCACAATATAGAATTCGGTGGAAAAGTTGAGGAAGGCACATCGCATTATGTTCAAAGTAAAATGACGATCAATAAAAATGATTGATTTATTACTGTTCTGAAAGCATATCAGCAAGCAGTCGCCTTGTCTGAATGATTTTATATACAGATTATTAATGCTAATAGATTTGCCACTGTTCCCCTTATGGCGTGAGAGTACACAGGTATGATCTTTCGTATTCTTGGCCTTCGACCTAATCTTTGGCTTCAATTCGTAGGGTAGTTGTACAGACTCTTGTAGTAATAGCCTAATCTGGCTTTCAGAAAGGAGCAGTTTCCTTGTGCAAGTATCAATTATATTCTTTCGACACTTTCGCCTAATAGACTTATTCCTTCTTAACTCCTTCCTATGAATTTACATTCTCTCCTTTTGTCAATTTTTAGTCAACCATCAGATCATTCAAAACAATTTGCTGCTGTAAGATGCATACATCAGAATGCATATCCGTGTGTCCCGCACGCTTAGGTATGATCACACCAAAGCACCATTCTGTTACTTTTTTCGAGTCAACGACCTTCCATCTGCCTTTCGACATCGAATGACAGAATGGCGAATTCCTGACTCCAAGGAATTAACAGCTAATAAGGGAATAGTTATGCGCGCGTTTGGGTTTTAGCCTGCATTCTAACGTGCACAGAAATCCACTAACTGTCGCTAAACGCTCATGACAACTTTCCAAGCACTATTCTAACGATCTATTCGTTTTTTATTATCTTCAAATTTTCTAAAAGCTTTCTTTATTCTCATTTTGAAAGCATAGCCTGTATGATTCTATTCTGGTGCAGCAAACTAGAACAATTATTATAACGACAAAATGCGAATCTGCTTGTCATAAGGTATTGTATTCTTGTACCTAGAAATCTGATCCGAACGTTACGTTTTCTACGTGTTGTGGCATTTCATGATGGCAACTCATGTCTTCAGTTTGTTCCAGGGGACTTGTTCTTTCGACCGACTTTGCATATTGCTGTTGGCATATGTACCTTTCTCTCCTACTTTCGAAACGTATTCTGATTTGAGTTTCTAAATATACTGACGGTTATGTAGAAAGTGAGTAAGTTTCCTTCGGAAATTTTGCTCGATTTATTGCGTATACTTTGGTTCCTTCGTCATAAATTTTTTAGTAGTTCGATACCGTATCGTTTGTTTGCTTTTTTGTCTGTGTCATCAGGTCTCTAGAAAGTAAACTAGAGAGAATATGTGAAATCCATTGACTGATAGGGTGAAGTACACAGGCAAGGTAGGTCAATTCAATTTCCGACTCTTGTCTGCTGTGTATCGTAGTCGCCTGCCTAGTAATATCTCTTGCCATTCTTAGCTACAACAGCTTGAGCAACAGGTACCCAAATTGAATGAGTCTATAGAAGTTATAGGTGATGTCGTTTTTAATCATGTTGTATTCAGGTATGGTGTATACGCAAATGTTAACGTTTGAAGATAAACGTAATTTTATTTGCGTTTTTCGTTTCTTTTAAATCTATCCTTTCACGCAAAAAAATTTACGCTTTTACGCAATCGTGTTGCCTACGGAATTTTTTGATGCTGATGCGCAGGTCAGGAAAGAAAATATACCTATTTACAAATGACATATTTTATTACTTATTTACTTTATTTGCAAAAACTTCTTTATGAATGACCACTGTGCAGTTGTATCGTGGGCTTCGCTGTTCGTATAGCTGTATTGTTCCTAAAGTCTTCATACAAATAAAATTACAGAAAAATAGTACTCGATTTTATGGGTTTACTGATATCGCCGCTAATATATCTAATCTTCTTCGAAATATTATCCTGTTTAATTAAATTGCTGACAGTCGTAGATATGACAATGAAATGTTACTTTTAAAACACAGTTGCTTATGCCTATTGTCAAAAAACTATTCGTTTGTAATTCTCCTCAATTTCTGATACCGGATTTAAGTAAGCTAGGGCTCCATGGTATTTGAGCATCTGCAGTGTATGGATGCATGACCGCGTATTTTTCTGTATAAATACATGTACAGATTGTGGCATATTTGCAGTTGTCCGAGTAGGCCCTTGTTCGTCTCTGCCAAGTGATGCGGTCTTGCATACATGCACTGCAGGTGCTCAATTACCAATGGAGCTGTGGCCTGCTTAATTAGTCCCCTAGGCGACTAGAGGTAAGGGACGGTGCTTCGCCGCTTGAATCCGGTGTCAGAGCTGAGGAGGAGAATTACAAACGAATAATATGTTTTTGATAATAGGCATAAGCAGTTGTATGTTTTAAAAGTGACAGTTCATTGTCATATCTACGACTGTCAGCAATTTAATTAAACAAAATAATATTTCGCTGCCGTTATAAAAGTTGAAACCGATGAATGAATAAGTGAAAAACAAATGTCTTTTTGGCTCGGTTAACAGATCAGATGAATGGCATATTCACATTCTAAACAATGTGTCTAAATCTCAGATCATCAAGGTTTTATCACCATAATTTTTTTGTTTTTATCTTCAGTTTCGCTGCTGAATTTAAAGGTAGCAAAAGAACGCTCTTAAACATCATTAATCATCTTGTTGGTCCGAAAGTTTTGATATTCTGTGTTATCTTGTCATTTTGATGCTTTATGCCTTTATTTCAGAGAATTTTTGCCACGTATTTTCGCAGCAGATAAATCTGTTATTGGGTGATTTTATTGAAGTAAAATTTCATTCTGTTATTGCTGATTATATCTGCAAAGGTTTTTTAGATTATTTTTATTATTAAGTTTAAACTTTGTCTTTGACGTTCGGATTAAGGTTTATCTGCAGACCTGAAAAAAATGGCCAGCAGCACGATTCCTTTACCTAACGATCCAGCGAATATGCAACTAGTTACGGAACTTGAATTAGAAATGATGACTGATATGTACAGGAAGTAGGTCGCGATGCATCTCATTTCATAATTAAGCGCCTTGAGTAGGATGTCCGATTCATGCCAAAAGAAATGTATATCCAGTCGTTATAAGGAAGGCGAGCTCAACAAGGGTGAAGCCGTCTGTATCGACCGATGTGTCTCGAAGTATTTGGACGTGCATGAAAAACTCGGTAAGAAATTGACGCAAATGTCAGCTCAGGATGAACAGTTGCTCCAGAAGATGCAGCAGTGATCGGCACATGAAATGCATTATTAGTTCTTTTTTATGTCTCCGTTCTAAAGGCGTGAACGGCATTGAAGCCTGTTCATTGAACTCTCAAATAAAATTGACGTTCGACTTAAAGA